TCGGGCAAACGCCACGGAGCGATGACCTTGATGTCGGGCTTGAGGCCATAGAAGGCCAGCTCAAACCGGACTTGGTCATTTCCCTTACCAGTGCAGCCATGGGACACGAAGCTGGCGGAAATGAGGAGAAGAAAGCGGGAATGAATGAGAACGTACTTGCACCCTTCTCGGTCTGCAACCTCGATCATACCCCGCGCGATAACCGGGCGAGCGAGAGACGTCCCAAGCAGATAGACGTTCTAATCCGTAATTAATCGAGGCGAAATAGCCTTCGGCTAGGAAATACCCACCTCGTAGATGCAATTCGCCTGTACAGCGGGGTAGATGAGCTCAGTGACAAATTCGCGCTTCAAGTCCTACAGAGTCGCTGAGTATCGATACGTCGAGGAATGAGAGAGGACACTACCTCCAAAAAGAACTTTTTGGCGCCGACCTTGAGGGCTTTCTTCTCTGCAGCAGCAAAGTCCTGCGATAAGCCTCAGACGCTTCCTTCTTATAAAAATGCAACAAATCAAACCTCCTCTTGGCCGACATCCGCCATGAACGCGTACACCTCGTATCCCTGCTCAATGAGCCAGGCGAGAATGCATGAAGTATCTGGTTGGGAATGAGGTCTGTAGCAAGCACCCAAACACAAAAGACACACCCAGACCACCAGAGTAGGCGAGGAGAACGCGTCCTTGGGAAGCAGACATGGTGGGCGATGAAGAAGGGCAGTCGTGCGAGTCATTTTAAAGTCTAAAATTTTAGGCCTTTACGTCACGCGTGATAATTCCGATGTTCGGACGAGATCCGAAGAGACTAAAATAGGGGCTCAGCGCATTCGGCGCGTAACGTTTCCCGCCGTTTGAACCGATTTTGGACGCGATTAAGCATTCCAATACGCGCTAAATGGGATAAACTTCACTCGAACGAGCAGCGACGCGATTAGAGGCAACGCGTAGAATGAACGCGTAGAGCGGAACGCGCAGAATGGACGCGCAGAACGGACGCAATGGTACTTGGGGCTTGTAGGAAGTTATTCTTCGCGCCCTCATTACCGCCGATTTTTTTTTTTCAATTTAGCCTTCCCGGACACTCGGCGAGCATCCCATTCTCGGCCGCTTCTGTTTATACTTTTTGGATTCTCTAGTCTTTTTTTAAAGCGCAAAACGCGCGTTGACGTCAAAGTCGCCTTAATCTATTACTAGTAGTAGCAGTACTAGTCAGGCCAATTCTGACTGAGGCAATGCCAGGTTTATAGGTCCAATTCCAGCGATGACCCAAAATGTTAGACCAGCGACCGATTAAACAACATCGTCGAAGTGGTTGTCAGTCTAATCTCCTTAATAGAACGAAAGAAGGGAATCGGGTTGAGAGGCTGTTGGATACTACGCTTCCCTTTCGAGACCGAAGAAAGTCCAGTGTGAAAGCATCCATTATCCCATTAAATACTTGATAATATACATCTAAAGTCTAGTACTTTCTCCGCCGGGTAATGGTCATCTCGTTCTCCTGGATGTTAAACGTCGAGACGACATTGTGCAGGAAAACATCTCCACTGAACAAATACTCAGTTACAATATCACAAAAACAGGAAAAGAGCGCCACGTACAGGATGAACACGTTCTCGGGCGTGTCGGGGCCGCCATCCTGAGTGCCGGAGATGCACACGACATTGCCGTCGTCATCTGTGCCGGCGTTGAGGATCTGGTCGCGCGCATCGATGGGGAAGCTCTTCCCGCCGAGCGTAACAGAGAACGTGGGCACAGTCGCGTTGCACGCGACAAAGTACAGCCCCGAGTCCTGATCGAACGTCGCCTTGGGGGAGAACTGCGCGTTGTACGCCTTGGCGACCTTGGTGGGGAGGAGGTTGAGCGTTGTGCCCGAGTCGAGGATGGTGTTGTTGTTCTTCGTGGCGAGCTTGGTGCTGCCGGGGAAGACGTACCCGTCGACGTCGACGGTGTAGTAGAAGAAGACGGCGTCTTTGGCGTTGGACGGGTCGTCCGTGGTGGTCGAATAGCCCTGGACGGGGACGGTGACGGCGGTCTTGTCGAGGACGACAGGGGGCATGCCGCCAAAGGCAATGAACCCGAGGTTGGGGTCAACGGTCGAGTTGGGGGAGGGGGAGCCGCGGTTGAGAGCGAGGGAGAAGACTGTAAAATATGAGAATAAGATAACGAGAATATGGGAATGGGGCACTAACATGGGTTGGTAACGACTCCCTGCTTGACGGCGGTGAAGAAGAAGGGGTCATAAGGAATGTGGTTGGCCCTCGACGCCTTTGTGGGATCTGTCGTGTTGAACACCGAGGTTATACCCGCAAAAGCGAGACCAAGCAGGCCCGAATTGACGCCATCGCCGTTCCATGCCGCAAAGTCAGGAGTACCAACCTCCTGCTTCGTGACTGAGAGACCGCCCACAGAGACGGTGTCAAAGCCCACGGGACCCGAGAGGAATTCCCCATCACCTGTAACTCGTTAGTTTTTGGCTCTTTCTTGTTTCAAGAAACTTACCGTATGAGATGTTAAAGCTGACTTTGGGGAATGCCTGGAACGTGGGGGACGCTGCGGTGTCGAAGCCGTCGCTGCCAAAGCCACAGGTTTCTGTGGATTCGGGGAAACCAGTAAGGTTGAAGCAGTTGAAGCCCTTTTTTATTAACCAGGTATCAGAGCTGCGACGGCAGCATTAGTCGAGTGAATAATTAAGGATTGGATTAAAACACACCTTCCAGTGTCAACGATAGCGGTGAAAGTCTGGCCACCGACGGTGATGTCGGTGAGGTACTCCTCATCGAGGTCAGCGCCGGCCAAGATTGCGGTCTTGTTGTTCGACGCGTGCGCACGCAGGGAGGCCAGATGGGTTTTTTTGGACTTTCTCCGCGGTGCTTTCGAAGTAAGGGGGACGACAAACTGTGCCTCGGGAATGACGGCGGGTTCTAGAGAGCGGGGCGCATGCGACACATGTCGTACGACGGTAAATTCAGCGGTGGTAGCACAAACGAGGGACAGGACGGAGAGCGCAGCGAGGGCCATTGTTCAACGAGAGAGGACTCTTGCGGATTGAACGAGTAGAGAAATACGGCCTGCATCTTATAGAGACGAAGCATTGCGACCATGCAGTTCATTTGGCAACAACAGCGTGAATATTCCACATGCACGACGGAGGACCCCCGCAAGTCGCCGGTCAAGTCCAAAAGAAGGCAACTATTAATAGGGCTCATCATGATGTTGTGATCACCCCCTGGACCCCACCTCGACTTGTCCTCAGCTGCGCTTTCATTTTGCCTACCTAATAACCTGCAGTCTGTTGGAAATCTGAAGGCTTCCTCTGGCGTTTCAAGGATTCTAGGACTGACCGGCCTGAAGCTTGAGGGACTCGACCGGCGACGATCCACGAGCAACCCATGCATATGCGTCCACATTGCGGTATCCGAGGCATAGCAACGACTGCTAGTACTGGTATCGGAACTTTGATGTTTTCTTTGCCGGTATGTGCGAAGTACCACAAGCCAAGCATGCTGATATTCGGGAACCATGGTGTGTCATGTCAGATACTTACGCCACCCACAAGCTACTGCCACTGATAGCGAGTCCATGGTGAACGGAGTCCCTAGCAAATTATATCGCTCTTCGTGCTCGCTGGCTCGTGTTTGTTCTTTGGCTGCTTTGGTTACCGGCAAATGTTGGCCGGAAGGACACCTTTTTTAGCAGTACCCCGCGTTTCTGTCTCCGCCCTTCGATATGGCTGCTTGTGTTCTGAATATCCTACCACAGCCCTAACCGCAACGGGTCGCGTCGATTTGACGTGAGTGAATCTCTGGCGGTAAGAAGACGACTCACTGGGTTCCTATCTCCGACCTCACCGTCTGGCTCATGGAGATTATTCCTCTGCCCTGCGCGTCATATTCCGAAAAGTCTGTCTCAGCCGGACATGCGCGCTGTCCAGTATCCTCTTTACCGTCGTTGTGCCGGCCACGATGCTACCCCGCGTTTCTGTCCGGGCGCTCTACCTGGGCCCTTCCTCGCCTAATCGCTTGGCCTCGGTGCGCGATATCCGAACGCACCTCGAGGGCCATAACTAACGGCAATGATGGCTTTTACAATGTTGCATCGTGGATACGACCCTTCGTACAATATTACTCGTCGATTGCCATGCTCCAATTCAAATGCCTGGGAATAGTAACTTTCTACTCTGCCAACAGTCGCCGTTCTACCATCGACCTCGAAACATGTACGATACCTGAAATATTCTGCATCCGGCGATTCATAGCCTTCATTCTTTGTCGCTTTTCCGGATGGCCCAGGCCGCGACTCTCCAGCCCAGGGGGCATCTGTGGCTTCGGTGGGATTGTGGAGCTGGTATTGTTTTGCGGCCTTTTGAAGCGCAGTCATCCGTCTGAATAACGAATCCGGCTGCCAGTCAGTTCATTGATGGTCGACCTGCAACTCAATCGCAAACCTCGAGTCTTCAACTTTGTGGAAAGGGTTGGATTGGAATGTCTTATGGCATTGGAAAACAACGGTTTTCAAGGGATTAAATACTCGCCGGACAGTTACCGCTCCGGCGACGTGAGCTCCACGTACTGCACGACAACGGTGAGCGCCAAATATGATCGTTGTAGGGAGCGAGCCGGAGCTGACCGCAGGTCAGCGATGGCTCGCGACCCATTCCTCGACTCCACCTTCAAAATTGGGTTTTAGGCTTTGATAAAAAATGCTCCGATTGCACCGAGTAGTGGCAGGGACGGGTAGGATCGGTCCGGGTTGAATGAACGACAGCGAAGCCCGATCGTGGTCGCCCAATTGAGAAACTCGTCCTCTCGACCCAAAAAGGAAATTTAAGTGAATTTTGAAATTTGCAACTTTTTAGCGTCCCACATGGCACAGAAAAGTTGAGTCTAGCTTCTGGGAGGTCAAGAAGGTTTAACAAAGCTGTTCGGCGGCGTGCGTCCTGCGCAAAATGATAAAAACATAAAGTCTGTAAAAAAAAGAGATTTTGTGCTGGTGCACAAGAAAAGATGCCCACTAGCTGATTCGAACAACTGATCTTGTCATTTCGTAAATTGCTTACGAGTGACACGCCTTACCACTGGGCCAAGCAGGCATTGACTCTCTGCAAATCTAACCTGTGCTTCCACAGAAATTCAACTTGATGCAAATCTAACTTGTGGTTCCACAGGTGGATTCAGTGTCTTCCGTAAACCTCGTTCCACGCTTACCACTGGGCCAAGCGGGCCATTGACTCTGACTCTCTGCAGATCTAACCTGTGCTTCCACAGAAATTCAACTTGATGCAAATCTAACCTGTGGTTCCACAGGTTGGATTCAGTGTCTCCCGCAAACCTCGTTCCACGCTTACCACTGGGCCAAGCGGGCCATTGACTCTCTGCAAATCTAACCTGTGCTTCCACAGAAATTCAACTTGATGCAAATCTAACCTGTGGTTCCACAGGTTGGATTCAGTGTCTTCCGTAAACCTCGTTCCACGCTTACCACTGGGCCAAGCGGGCCATTGACTCTCTGCAAATCTAACTTGTGGTTCCACAGGGTGGATTCAGTGTCTTCCGTAAACCTCGTTCCACGCTTACCACTGGGCCAAGCGGGCCATTGACTCTGACTCTCTGCAGATCTAACCTGTGCTTCCACAGAAATTCAACTTGATGCAAATCTAACCTGTGGTTCCACAGGTTGGATTCAGTGTCTTCCGTAAACCTCGTTCCACGCTTACCACTGGGCCAAGCGGGCCATTGACTCTGACTCTCTGCAAATCTAACCTGTGCTTCCACAGAAATTCAACTTGATGCAAATCTAACTTGTGGTTCCACAGGGTGGATTCAGTGTCTTCCGTAAACCTCGTTCCACGCTTACCACTGGGCCAAGCAGGCCATTGACTCTGACTCTCTGCAGATCTAACCTGTGCTTCCACAGAAATTCAACTTGATGCAAATCTAACCTGTGGTTCCACAGGTTGGATTCAGTGTCTCCCGCAAACCTCGTTCCACGCTTACCACTGGGCCAAGCGGGCCATTGACTCTCTGCAAATCTAACCTGTGCTTCCACAGAAATTCAACTTGATGCAAATCTAACCTGTGGTTCCACAGGTTGGATTCAGTGTCTTCCGTAAACCTCGTTCCACGCTTACCACTGGGCCAAGCGGGCCATTGACTCTCTGCAAATCTAACTTGTGGTTCCACAGGGTGGATTCAGTGTCTTCCGTAAACCTCGTTCCACGCTTACCACTGGGCCAAGCGGGCCATTGACTCTGACTCTCTGCAGATCTAACCTGTGCTTCCACAGAAATTCAACTTGATGCAAATCTAACCTGTGGTTCCACAGGGTGGATTCAGTGTCTTCCGTAAACCTCGTTCCACGCTTACCACTGGGCCAAGCGGGCCATTGACTCTGACTCTCTGCAAATCTAACCTGTGCTTCCACAGAAATTCAACTTGATGCAAATCTAACCTGTGCTTCCACAGGTTGGATTCAGTGTCTTCCGTAAACCTCGTTCCACGCTTACCACTGGGCCAAGCGGGCCATTGACTCTGACTCTCTGCAAATCTAACCTGTGCTTCCACAGAAATTCAACTTGATGCAAATCTAACCTGTGGTTCCACAGGTCGGATTCAATGTCTCTGCAAATCTAACCTGTGGTTCCACAGGTTGGATTCAGTGTCTCCCGCAAACTTCGTGCCTCTGGCACGGGCACGGCACACTCGCTCCGCTCGTGGCTGTGCCTTTGGCAAACTTGGAACACTCACCAAAGCGGGTACAGCAGTGAAGTATTATTTCTTGGCCAACAATTACCTTCAGAACCCAAAAGGGCCTGTCTGGATACTGCCAACCAAATCCTTCCCATGGATCCATGGGTTGGATTGCACTCGGTGTTCGCAGCAATGTGTCCTTAAGCTTGAACACCCAACAAAACAACCTGTGGAACCACAAGTTGGATTTTTGAACCATTCACAAATTGAACCTGCTTGGATTTTTGAACCACGCCTACCATGCGGCCTGTGGAACCACAGGTTGCATTGAAAAAATTGAATCTAGCCTGTGGATCCACAGGAAGCATGTTTGGTCCTTCACGATAAGCGCAATATTTGAAACAAAGGTGAACTTGAAAGAGGATGAGATTCAACCTGTGACCACTAAAGATGTCACGGAGCCTCAGGATGGAAGGAGTCTGCCGCCGAAAGACGTAGCACAGACAAAGCATAGAGTAAGAGTACATATCTGCCATTAGGAGAATACAGATCGATTAGGAGTTGAACTATAAATCAAATGTGCCATGTTCAAATGTCCCCGCAAACCTCGTTCCACGATTGACTCTGTGTAAATTCAACTCTCTGCAAATCTAACCTGTGGTTGCACAGGGCGGATTCAATGTCTCCCGCAAATCTAACCTGTGCTTCCACAGGGCAGATTCAGTGTCTCCGTAAATCTCGTGCCTCCGGCACGGGCAAACTTGGAACACTCAGCAAGGCGGGTACAACAGCAAAGTATTTTTTCTTGGCCTACAGAACCCAAAAGGAGCCGGATATATCAACCAAATCCTTCCCATGGATCCATGGGTCGGATTAGTGTACTCAAAATATATAAACTTACCGAGTATTTTTTTGGAACCCGAAAGCCAACCAAAAGCGGCATGCCACCTGTCAATTAAATCCTTCCTGTGGATCCACAGGTCGGATTGCCACCCAAAATTTGCAGCTCTCACTGAAACAGACATTGTGAAAGACAAATTACTTACATGATTTCACTGAGAACGTGGAGGCTAAGGATCCGTAAGGAGGGACTTCGTGCGAGCAGACACACCGGAAAGAGCACAGGTTGGCCACTTGTTACTGGTCTTGGTGAGGAAGAATAAAATAAAGACCATCTCAGAGATATTCGCGTTTTTGGTGTCAAATTTGACTCAGAGTGACGAGCAAGAAAACCGCCCTGTGGATCCACAGGTTGCATTTTCGAACCACTCGCAAAGCGTGCGTGGAATTTTGAACCATGAGTACCAACCAGCCTGTGGTTCCACAGGTTGGTTTGTAATTAAAAAAAAGAATCCAGCCTATGGATCCACAGGTCGCATTTAGGGTCCTTTAAGATAAGTCCAGGATTTCAAAGTACTGAGAAAGATTTCTACCGCAAATCATGATATCACACAAGGGGCTTGGCAAACAGCGGAATACAAGACCACTCTTTCGCGACGCGCTCACGACCCTTGGTTTACCAGCAAGATGCGATTCACACGGCCCCGTGTTAGCCATATAAAAGGCGAGTGTCAAATCTATGTCTGTTTGGGCCCTTATTCCGTTGAATATTGGAAGGATCTTTATGGTCCTTGGACTCGCTCACGCGCGACACCTGCCATAGTGTAGAACCATTCATTTAACAGTGTTCAATTGCCAATCCTCTCCAGTTCCTGCTCAAACAAGCACCTCCGCCAGCCGGCCTTGGTGTATGGTTCAGCTGGGTCTTAACGAGGGCCCGGACGTTCTGAGCTCAAGGTTCTGGGGGATTCGGACCCAACACTTTCTCAAATTAAATTTATCCTGTCCTCTAAATGTTCGTGAATACTCCGAGGTATGTCCTTTATTGGCCGTCTTTCTTGGACTTACCTTCCTTCTTTTTCAGCCACTGCTCCTGCAGCTCGATGATGTCAGTTTCCGCTGTGTCTGAACAAGGAAGCGCGATCAGCATCCTTTTTGTCCACCCTCGCCACCTTCAATGTTCTGACTGTTTGGGCCTCCGGACCTTTCCTTGTTAGACGAGCACCAAGCTGCCGCTCAACACACACCTCATTCTCACGCGACCTCTACGCCGTCCTCGTCCCCCCGTCTCCTCGAGTCTTGCATCTGCCACCTCAAGCCCCAGCCCAGCACCACCATCGTCCTGCTCGATACCCCCTGCTTCGTGTTAACGTTCTCCGCGGCGGCGCTCAGCTCCGCATCTTTCGAGGTATTCACGAACAACATTGCCGACAAGGTCACTCTTTGCCGATGCGGACAATGCCGCACCGATCCTCCCCGTACTCGGGCGCACCTTGCTCGTGCTCACGACCTGGAAGGACGACAAGCGCGACCCCAATGAGCTCCTGGCCGAACTTATCGGGGCTTCGGCGCGCACGCATCCTTCGAGCCCACACCGCTCCTATTGTTTCTCGATGCGATATTGATCTTTCGGGATTTGCCTGCTACCGTTTGTTATGTGCGTAACCCGCCTGCATGATCACTACCGCTGCTCATCTACCTCATTGCCGAGATCACCATTATGATTCTGGTGACGTACAGTCTACAGGTATGTCGTTGGGCTCGTTTGGCGCTGCTGGTTCATCAGGCAATCATTTTCATCGGGTAGATGGTAGTGTTCTCTCGTATGTGATCTTTTCGTGTTGTTCAAATGTCTGTTGACACCGTTCCTTAGGTACCTGACTTACAGCTTCGGCTGGCCCGTCTATTCCTTCTGTTGTATTGACGAATTCATTTGGGCTAACACGTGTCTTGTGATTAGCGAGAGCAAGAACAAGAACATCGCGATGATCCCTCTCAAGAATTTGAGCGGTAAGTTGTTCTGAGTCGTCTGTTATTTTTATTTATTGTTTTGCTTTCAGTGAATGCGAAACGGAGGCATTGCAAACCCACATCTCGTTCGCGTGCGCCACCATTGCGTGCAGCTATTGATGGTGCGTGTATTCTTGCTAGTATTATTCCCATGCTAAACATCGTTCACAGCTAGCGGTGGGAATCCACTTCCATCGTAGTACACTGCTTGGGAATTGGATTCCTTACACATGGCAATTGTGAACCAACACGGCGTATGGTGACGTAGATGGATTTCGAGCTTGGGGTCCTCGAAATCCAATGTCGTAACTATGTCAATACATTTTGTACTGACCTGGCTGGTGGAAGCAATGTAATTTTAGCACCGATTTTACTGACCCCGGTCAGTGGAGACCATGGAATTTTCCCTGGTCACAAAATTTACTGATACCAGTTGGTGGAAGCAATGGAAATTCAGCGGGTCACAAATTTTACTGACCCAGTTGGTGGAAGCAATGGAATTTTAGCGGGTCACAAATTTTACTGATGCCAGTTGGTGGAAGCAATGGAATTT